CAAATTGTCTTTTTTGTCATTTCTAGCATTTAATTGAATTTGTATACAACAGGTCCAGAAGATGCCCGGGAAGTGTACCAAATTAGGCGGACGTATACCTGCCTGTCAAGTAAGCCATGAGTTGTCAATGAGATTATTTTCTAATCTTTAATATTGTTTGTGTTTAGTCCCAAGATTTCATCACAATTGACTACAACTCCTGTAAATAATATAAACTATATTTTAACCTAACACTAGACTAATTTACATTTTATCTAAACTATTGTTTATTAATTTAAATATATTATTTTTATCGATACTAATTATACTACACTATATATACATAATAAAATTGTTTTTTGTGTTTTTTATTGAATTTCATTGTTTGATATACAGTATTATACTAATTGTATGCTAAATACCTATTAAAGAATTTTGTTTAACTTAATACAATGATTTACATCATAGGATCCTATTTTATCCTATAATATTGGTATTATTTGACTTTAAATGTGGAATTGGTTTATATGTAAGCCAATTGTCTGATTATTATGTATTGACTTTAATTGTTAAATAAAAATAATGTGAGGAAATTTGAATTTGTAATAAGATTACAGTTAGTGTCGATTCAATCAATTCTATCTTTCCATTTGATTTTGTCTTAATATTAGTTAGAAATGTTCGGATGAGTCAACACTAAAAATGAAAATATGTTATAAAATGAGAAGATTTTGTTTAATATTTATGATTTGGATTGGATTTAACGAAAGTGTATTTGAACTACAATTTAATCACAATTTGAATGAATGGCAAAATTCCGTTTCGTTTGTTTCGGAAAATACACTTTTGTTTAAAAGCTTTTCTAACATACGTTTGAGTCTTAAATTCTTGGATTCTTGTAAACAATATATTAATATTGACGGCCTGTTAGGCGTCAGAATAGTTAGCGATCAATTAAAAGTTACTTTGGATGCACTCAAACCATACGAGAAGTTACATGTATGGTTTCAAAATCTTAAAAACACTGTAATAGATGTCAAACAACTGGCAGACAATCTATTATTAACAGCAGTGCCTATAATTGAATCAAATGATCCAAAATATTTTACAGGTTTCATATTTTAATTATAATTTGTTGATTAATTAATTGATTGTTATTTATTTATGTAATCAATGAGATGTCGGCGGTATTCTGGACGAGGGTTTGTGGTCACAAAAGTGGCAAACAATTAATTTTGTTAATAATTCAAACAAATATGATTTTCAACTTAATATAAATCAGATTCCGATGAATGAAAATATTTCCGACTATTGTTTGTCTCAAGTGTTAAAAGGATGTCATATTTCCTGGTTTTGTTGGACAGCAATGACTGGACTTTATTATAAAGATTATCCGCTCTCTCATCAAGTTTTTTATTTAGAAATTGCGAAACAGGTCTTAACTTCTCAATTAATATCTAATTTTATTTGTTATACATTTATTACATTATAATATTAACAGAAGAAATGCGAAACTCAAATGAAATATTTTGTTAAAAAATCAAAGCAAAAAAGTATTCAAAACTTATTGGAAATATTTTGCACGAATGTCTTCNCTAATTTTATTTGTTATACATTTATTACATTATAATATTAACAGAAGAAATGCGAAACTCAAATGAAATATTTTGTTAAAAAATCAAAGCAAAAAAGTATTCAAAACTTATTGGAAATATTTTGCACGAATGTCTTCAATGGAAACAAACGACTTGAATATTATTTGTTTCCTGAAGAAGATATGGACTTATTTATGGAAAACAGTGAGTATTTTTGTCATTACTTGTTATACTTTACTTGTATATCAAATACTTGGTACCCTTGAAATCCAATATAATATACACCCAATAATATCCCATTCAATTACTATCTTCTTATTTTGAATTCTTAAGTCATTTGCCATTTATATAATGTTAAAATAGTTCCACTTTTTGTCCCTAATTTTGTGTCTATATTATATAATATTATAATCAACTTTCCATTATTACCCCACTTTTCGAAAATCTTAAATGTATATTGGATTTCGAGTGTATTAATATTTATGCTCAATTATTATCTTAAAACTTATTATTTATCTTTACTGTATTCACCAATTTTATAATCTTTGTTATAATAACAGAATTATTAGATTACATTTTACAATAATCCATGTAATATTCTTAACACAGCATATCTACCAATTTGTGTTAACCTAATCTATCAATAGGTTTAATTTTTTTTTAACAATAATGAGAACATTAAATATAGTTTACAATATTATAATTGCAAACCTGTTTTATTTTGAAAATGTGTGGATATTAAGAACTTTAACTTAATTTAATAATTAATAAATGATTTGATCCATATATTTAGTCGCTTTTTGTGGAATCATTGGATTCACAGAATTTACAAATAATATCCTTTGGTTGAAGAAAATACTCGAACACCAGAACAGGTTTGGATGTTATGAAAGCATTTCAGTACAGAATCGTATGAAACGGAGAGAAAGAATTTTGGATAACGGATGTAGTCTTCATAAGACATCAATGGCTTTGGCGTCAACTCTCGTTTATATCACTCATATTATCTCTCATATAATGACAGAGACTTTTGATGTCAAGATATGAAACACTCAAATCTTTATCACAATATACAATATACGTATACTGTATATACTTTACATTACATATATATTGTAATGAATGTCACACTTATATTATTGTGAAAATAATTTCGTTTATCTATTATTTTTTGACAAAACATAACTTAAGACTTATTATTAATACAACTAAACATTTTCTGTTTGAGTAATCTTATGATAAAACAATATGTTTTTTGATAAAATATAATTCCTTGTATTAGCACTAAATCTAATGTTGTGTAAACTCTATCGATAATAAAGCAGTCGAACAAACATTGATCTCAATTACAGACTCTTTTT